ATTTTGAGCGGTTGAGCTTGGGGCTTGGCGGGGTTTGTGGGGTTTCGGGATTAGTCTTCAGCGTTTGGGGGTCAGGGGTCGGTGGTCTAGGCAAGGGGTTCAGCTTGGGGCTTTGCGGGTTTGTGGGGTGGAGCGTTATTTTGCGGAGGGGTTTAGCTTGGGGCTTGCGGGGTGGTGCTTGTTGTTTGGGGCTTGGGCTTGGGGTCGGGGTTGGGACTTCGTTGAGGCTTAGGTTCTTCTGTTTGGGTGTTTTGTTGGCGGGGGCCCTGGACTTCGTGACGAGGCGCGTTTAGGTTAGTGGTTTAAGGGTTTAAGACACGTATCCCAGATGCCCACAGCCGTGGTGGCCTGACTCCGGTCAGGCTCCCGGCTCAATAGGCCTGGGCGGCCGTGGTGGCCTGACTTCGGTCAGGCTCCCGGCTCCCGGCCTTCTGGAAGCAGCCTTGCCTGGGCGGCCGTGGTAGCCTGACCACTGGTCAGGCTCCCGGCTCCCGGCTCGGCCTGGGGCGGCCGTGGCAGCCTGACCAACACCGGTCAGGCTCCCGGCTCCCGGCTGGCCTGGGCGGCCGTGGCGGCNNACAAACCTTGAAACCCAAAGCCCTAAAACCTAAAATCTTAAAATCTAAATAATACATGGACTTCCCATCCCCGCCCGAGCGTCCGAGCCTCAGTCAGTTAAGGAGTTGGGGTTGATTCAGTCTACTTACTTAAGCCTTTGCAAGTTTGAGCCCGAACCCCACCCTAAGCTTCCGAGAACTTGCTCACAGACTTCATTTGGCTTGTCCGAGTTGTGAGAGTAACTTTGATTACTACTCAGACTGTCTCAGACTAGGTAATGTTCAATAAACAGATGAACAATCCATGTCTGTCATTTTACAACATAATAATTATTTATATTAAAACTCATATTATTTCATTGTTCATGGTTGAGAACGCCCGAGCTTCCCAAGCCAGAACCCATTGACAAATTATATTCATTGACTCATCCTACTTTGGTTGTCCTAGACATTCGTAAAGAAACTAGACTAGTCCAGACCCCTGGATCGCACCAAGCAATCCTTGCAACCGCCCGAGCAACTTGGGCCTCGTGCCTGAGACGTAAAATGTAAACATGATGACTAGTAGCATCCAGCTGAATGTCAAAAGCGTGCTTTAGCGGGGAGTTTTTACAATCGTTTACTTAGGAGGATGAGGTTGTGGCTTCTGATTAACTGAAACTCAACCCGGTCGGAACCATCGATTTGAGCCAGGTGTTTGCCAGTTTGAGGGCGTTTGGATTTGGGATTGTTCGGACGTCCAGGCTCCGGCCCAAACCTCAGAAGTGCAAACCCCAACCCCAACCTTTGGGCTCCGGATCCGGAGCCTTCAACCCGGCTCAGCGGCACCAGCCCTGGCAATACTTGCTGCCCAGGTCTTTCATCCGCCGTGATTCGCCGTTGGCTCACTACGATGGTCAGGAGGACCGGTCCGTGGACGGGGTTTGGGGGGCTTTGATTTGGCAGACCCTAAATTTAAAGTCTACTTATGACTGAGCGATAGTTTCAGCTGGGTGTTCGGATTTAATTCATTTCTGGGTCGAGGGGCGTTGAGACTTGCTAAACCCGGCCCATGTTGAACTTTGTCACGTCCGAGATCAAAGCCATACTGAAAGGGTGTGCGTTGATTACATTATCTCATGTGATTACCGACCCCGCTGCCGGCATCCTCCAGGACTTCGTGAAGCCGAAGCCAATAGTTGAGGGGCTTGGGCTTTAGCACCCGCCTTGCCTCCAGATCGTGCAGAATGCATTAGTGACAGTGTGCAGGTTTCTTTAGCCTTAGTATACCGATTCCTGAAGCCCACACAGGTCCAGGCGATTCAACTCAAACTTACACGTAGTCTGTGGCATAGATAGTTATTCTGGATTCGAGCCCTTTTCCAGCCATGGCAAGCGCTGCCGGCGGAGGTGGCCGAGACAACGAGGAGCCGCCCGAGCGACCGGGCCATGCTGTGGACGAGGCTGAGGAGGATGATCAGCAGGAGCCCGAGGACGACGGTTGGTGGAAGAGTAAGCTTTAGCAATGTCATTAGCCTTCCCTGGAACGTACTAGACCATTAACCCTACAGGTTATTTGAGATGATTTGAGTAGAAACAGCTCTGCAGGCAAAGCGGAAACCGGGCTCCAAGCCGAACAAGGCCATCAGGCAAAAGCGTCGAAGGCTGCGGGAGCAGGCGGAGCAAGCTGGCCACCCGTCCGAGAGACCGAAGCAGAGGCCATGTCCGAAGACGGATCGCCGGGAGAGATCTACTCCCAGGTCCGAGCCGTCGAGCAGCAGTCGCCCTGGCGGGCGGCCGTCTCCGCAACTCAGCTTGAACTGATTCAGTTGACTATTGCACAGCCCCGTGTTGCGTAATTTTTCCTAGAGTGTAACCAATGTNNGAGTAGTAGGCTGTAGGAAAGCTGGCTTTCGGCCATTGAAGTTCATGTTTGTCCAGCACATGCTCCAACGTCCAAGGTATCCTCCGGTGTCCGAGTTCTTCGAGAGCATGGACCAGTTGCCGACCGAGCCTACTGCACGGTACAGGCTGTTGTGGCGTCAGTGGTGCGTCATGAGTGCCCGATTGGCTTTCTTTCACAGCACCAACAAACGTGCGGCTTGGCATGCGAAGCAGCTCCTTTTGGGGTATGATTGGATGTCCTGGTTTTCGTGAGTTGGTCGAAAGAAATCAATACAGTTTATTTATGGAAGTTATTTGCCCCAGTTCCAGGTGATCGACCAGTACGGCTTGCAGCCGCTGAAGCCCGCCGGGTGCCAGCCCGTGACCCTGGACGACTATGCGAGGGCCTGTGGCGAACCTCGGCCTCCGGTTCTCGCTGCTGTGTAGTCGTAGTTTGAGGTTATCAATAATTATTTATATATGATTATTTATTATTAATTATGAGAATAAATAAACTAGAGTTTCAAAGCCGATTGATTGATTGGAATCCTGTTTAATTCAGTCTGATTGTAAGAAATACAATTTTTTTAAAAGAATAGATAGACAGAGCATTCATTCGAGGAGCTGCAGGACGTCATCCAGATGAGCAAAGCCCAGCTTGCAATCTTTGCCTTGCATGCGCCCGAGACTTGGAAGAGCTGTTAAATAAATTCAGGCTTCGTAGGGCCTAACCTGGAC